GTTGCGAGGGTGATGGGTTGTGTTGGTCTAAGGAGACGATCGACCGGTGATGCCTTTGCCTTGTTTGCCGGTAGCAAACAAGGAACGTATGGGTGGTAGTCGTTACCAGTGGCGATAATGGAGGTCACAGCTGGAGCTGGATTCCGATGGTGACGTTGTGGTTTTCGACGTTAGCTGCTATCGCCGAGGGTCCGTCGGGGTTTGCCATCTGCCGAAGGAGACCGGAGCTGTGATTAGCATTTTAGTTCCAACCGTTGGCGTCAGATCGGGAATGCACAGGGCCGGCCAGTGCTGTTTGATCGGACTATCGGAGCTGTTGGAGGTGTTTCGTCGGTCCTCTGCTGGTGGTTAGCTGGTGACGACCTATGGTGGTCGGGATGCGTCCATCAGCTAGGTTATTTCAGAGGTTTCCTCTCTCGTCGTCGTTTGATTTGGTGGCCATGCGAGAGGTTGCTCCAACCGTTGACGTATGATTTGAGCGAAGCGGAAGAAAATGCCAAAATGGTGGAACCTAGGCGGGGCCCAACTTTTCTTTTGTCTTTTTCTCTCTCTCTCTCTCTCTCTCTCTCTCTCTCTCTCTCTCTCTCTTTTTACGTCGTCTGTGGAGAGATGAAAATATCAATATTCATGTCCTTTTTTTTTTTTTGTTACCAACAAGTAAACTTTAAATGTTATGGGTAAATTTATGAATTCATGCTTTCAGAACATCGGACATTTTGGGGCTTTTGAGATGTACAAATATTAAAGTTGCGTTTACAAGGATGTATCTTGGTGAAAGAACAAACCATTTTGGGTCTTTACAGACGTAGAAATATTAAAGTTTCGTGTACAAGAGACAACTTCAAAGAATGAGAGTATGAGACTGTTTTTTTTTTTTTTTTTTTTTTCCATTGAATAAGACAAACATATATATTTTTCTTGTATTTTTAACGAGGTTTGTAGAACTTATGAGTTGTAATTATTTAGTTTTATTTCTTTAAGATGTATTTCGGTGGAAATAAGATGAATAATCAAAAGATTTATGGGATTTTTTTTATGGGTTTTAGAATGTCCAAGCACCATTGGAGAATTTACGAGCAAATGTTTCATAGGATGCTTAATATTCATGAAAACCTCAACTATAAAAAGTTTTTTTTGGGAATATGAAATTGGTAAAGGTGTAGGAATTCATAAAACTTTCTTTCTTACCTATTTTTTTTTAATAAATCATGAAAATAGACTAATAAAAGAGATAAGAAATTCTTTTTTTCTCAACTTTCTGAATAATTAGCCAAAATACAAACGAAAACTGATTCCAGAGACTTTTCTTATGTTTAAAAAACGTGTTGATGAGCTAAAAATTGATTTTCTTGGTCGTTTGAACTAAAAATTGTGTATAAACTTATGAAAACTTTTGTTCTCCTAAGATTATTGGATAAAACGTAAAAATATGAACAAAGAATGGGTAAAAGCTCGTGAAAACTTATTTTCTTCCCAACTTGTTGAACAAGCCACCAAAACATAAACGAAAATTAATTTGAGAACATATTTACAAGCTTGGAAAATATTCAAAATAGCAATAAATGTAGCAGATCTAGAGATTTGAGGGAAGAAACAAAGCAGATGTTGATCTACATTTGTTAATTATTTATAATAAATTCATAAAATTATTGAAAAAACTCTGTTAAGTTTAAAAAAAAAAACAGTTTAGTTAGATTTTAGTTTATGATAAAAGTCTATAGATGTTAAAAAAAACAAACAATTTTCTTCTTTCAAACTGCAGACGTTTGGTCCACCTCTTCTACTATAGAAATATGTAGATAAGGTCCGCATACTACATACATTTTGCTTCAGGAAAAACAAATAACACTTAAGTCTCTATAAGAACCATTTGTGAAATTTTCTAAAACTTCGCAGGATCACCATTTGTAATTCTTTATGAAACTTCACATAAGGAGCATTTGTGAAATTTTAAAAAATTCTATTAAATTTTGTATGATTATCATAAATCAAATAAAAAAAAAGTTAAAACACAAAATATAATATTTTTATAAATAAAAAATAGAACTTGCTAATTTTAATCAACATCAAATATATTTTATTTAATATATAAATAATATTTGTTATGTAAACTTTATTTAAAATATTTAAACTACAATACATAATTAAACATAGACGAAAATTAATTTGAGAACATCTTTACAAGCTTGGGAAATGTTCAAAATAGCAAGAAATGTAGCAGATCTAGAGATCCGATGGAAGAAACAAAGGAGACGTTGATCTACATTTGTTAATTATTTATAATAAATTCGTAAAATTATTGAAAAACTCTGTTAGGTTAAAAAAAAAAAAAAAACAGTTTAGTTAGATTTTAGTTTATGCTAACAGTCTATAGATGTTAAAAAAACAAACAATCTTCTTCTTTTAAACTGCAGACGTTTGATCCACCTTTTCTACTATAGAAGTATGTAGATATAACAGTCTATAGATGTTAAAAAAACAAACAATCTTCTTCTTTTAAACTGCAGACGTTTGATCCACCTTTTCTACTATAGAAGTATGTAGATATGATCCGCATACTGCATACATTTTGCTTCAGGAAAAACAAACAACACTTAAGTCCCCATAAGAACCATTTGTGAAATTTTTTAAAACTTCACACGATCACCATTTGTAATTCTTTATGAAACTTCACATAATGATCATTTGTGAAATTTTAAAAAAATCTATTAAATTTTGTATGATTATCATAAATCAAATAAAAAAAAGTTAAAACACAGAAAATATAATATTTTTATAAATAAAAAATAGAACTTGCTAATTTTAATCAACATCAAATATATTTTATTTAATATATAAATAATATTTGTTATGTAAATTTTATTTAAAATATTTAAACTACAATACATAATTAAATATTTTTATTTTCCATTTCTATAAAAAGTATGTGAAGTATAAAAACATAATTTTAAATTTATAGCCCTTCACTTGAAAGATTAAATACTTAATAGAAGTAGTTGTTCTGCACAGAAAGAGCAATCAGACCAATCCTTGGTCACGAGGCGAAGTGAGGTCTGATTCGCAACTATTTTAGACATTAGTGATCATGACACGACCATGAGCTAGTCACGGCGATATGACTGTTGACCGTTAAATTTTTGACAATTTTGACTTTTGGTCAAGATAGATATTAGTGTTGCAAAACTTGGCCTACTCAGCCGAGTACTCGGAATCGACCCTCCACCGATGCGAGTAATGTCAACTCGGCCAAAAAACTCGGATTTAGTCAAAATCAGTCAAACTCGGTCAAACTCGGGCCTACTCAGTCTTACTCGGGCCTACTCGGTCAAACTCGGCCAACTCGATCAAAATCGGTCAAACTTGGTATATTGGTCAAAATTGTCAAAAAAAGAGAAAAAAATCAAGAATTTCAAGATTAATACGTATAATGCACTTGATGATTTATTATTTAACACAAACATGTGATTATTACTACATATATATCTCAAATTTTCAGTAATTATCCACGTAGTGAGACAATTATGTGTATTTCAGTTTTTATGTATTCAGATGTATCTAATTTTGGTTATATATTTCAATCAAATTATGATTTTAACTTATGATTTTGACATTTATAATTTTCCAAAAAATATTTCTACATGAATTACCAAATCCGAGTACTCCCGAGTACTCGCTACTCCACAGTCGGCCGAGCGGGTACCGAGTAGCGAGTTCTACAACCTTAATAGACATAGAGTTTTTGATTGAGGTTTAACCTCCCATTGGTAGTAATTTATAAGATGTGTGTGTTGGTACATTTAGGTGGTTCGTGATAGTTTGTTCATTCGAGGAGTCTTGCGTGTGAGATTAAGATTTCTAGCTTCGGGTGAGTTTTCTCACTATATTGTATGCGGCGTTATATATCTTTGTGTACTGCTATTTTATGAAGGTGTGCTTAAGGTCCTATGGGATGATGGCTATATGTCAACAAGTCCTATAGAAGGGGGTTGTCACGATAGGATGATGGAGAAAGCCTACATGCCTGATGGGATGATGATTGAGAGCCTACATGCCCGGTAGAATGGCGGCATTACGATGAAATCGTAAACATATTGTTTTATAATCTGTAAGTGTAATGGAATATGTGGTATGTTGGGGATCTCACTAAGTCTTGTGCTTAATCGTTATATTCAAATGTTTTTCAAATTGTTTTGGTGAGAAAATACATGGGTACGGTGTGAATGTACTTGCATCTATGATTTGTTTTGGGACTTCTACTAAGCTCTATGTTTTGTTTTATGATGTTTTAATCAAATGAGTATTTATGTTTCTTTTAAAAAGGTAGTTTTTAGTTGTTTAATTCATACTTCAAAAAGTTTAAAATTGGATGAAAATTTGGGACATTACAATATTCTACCCCAAGTTAATTATTGATGATATTTTTGTTTTGAGAAGTAATGGGTTAGTAAATTTGTGTATGAACCGAGTGTTCATTCATACTTCATCGATATAATATCTAACCATGGGATTGTATTCACTAGGCTCCCCTTAGCCTAACCTACTACTACGTTAATAAAAAAAAAAAATTGGTTAGTTGATATTGTCATAAGCTTAGAAGATTTATAATATTTGGATATATAGAAGACTCTTGGTTTTTAAAGACTTCATAAACCTTTTTCTTTGATTATATTTTTAAAGACTTCATAAACCTTTTTCTTTGATTATATTTTTGCATTCTCGCATTATGCTTACACCATTTTATGAAAACTTTGAAATACAACAATTAATTTATTGCTCTAAACTTTGGGACTGTGTTTTGTAAATTAAAACAGTGAAAATATTTAATTAAATACTATTTCAAATAGGAAAAAAGATCCATGCGCGAGGAGGGGGACACATGCATCTTAAATATCAAGTCTAACCATCCATGTTTACTTGACGTTTATTTAGAAATATATAGGGATATATGGCAAGACGTTTGCTTCCGTTTATTTTAAAGTTGCACTTACAATTAAAGAAGATCAATTTGAACCAGGAGCAGGAGGAGATCTTTCTATATAGTGTCCATTGTTACCCTTTCCACTTTCGTCTCCAATTCCAACGCTATTGTTATCAACACTACCGTCTCCATTGTTGACTGTGTTGCCGTTTCGGAAAATGTTTCCGTTGATTTTACCATTATTGCTCCCGCTTTCGTTTCCAATATTATTGTGACTACCATTTTCATTTCTGTTATTTCTGTTGTTAGTCAAATTAGGATTGGTGACATCGTTGTTTTCGATATTTGGGTACCCATTTTTGTTGACGTAGATTTTGTACTTGTTGTTTCTGTTTTTTCCGCTAACATCATTACAACCAACATGACCATTCAAGCATCCTCCTCCTTGTATATTCTTAGTACTTTCTCCACTATAACCTACATATCTTATTCTAACACCTTCCCCTGACATTCCTCCAATATTTTCCTTGAGCGGTTCTTCACATCTCATATCTCCTATTGGACAACCAATCTTACTTGTACCCTCACCATATGCAGGGGGTAGCTTTGTCTTTCCAACAAGCTTTCTACCACAAACAATGTCGATTTTGCAAATCAAAAGGACGAAAAATATATAGAAAAAAAGCTTAATTGCCATCATGCAGCCTCGTTTTTTTTCCTTCTAATTTTATATCGATGACTTATGATAAGTGATAGCACAATCACATGTATATATAGGGAGTTCAGTGGGAGAAAATTTTAATAGGCTAGCTAATATATAAATAAATAAATAGTTTTGCGTCTAAAAATACATAAAAATATTATTATGTTATATACTATACCACCTAATGATTTGACAAAACCATCAAATAGTTTTCTCCTTGTTTTTCATTTTACTAAAAATGTAAGTATAATTATGTTATTTTATCATTGAAATAATATAATAACATTAGAAAACTCATCAAAAACTATAACATGTTATTTGTGGTTTTGAACTTAAGCATCTTATTTATTTTATTGAATAATTCACCAATACAATGTTTTTGAAAAATTTAAGATCTCTATCTTATTTTAAAAATCCTCCAAGTAGATATATACTTTTTCTCACTCCTCCTTGCTTTTCCTTTTCATTTAAATACAAAATGTTTATATGAATTATGTATATATATTTTCACATCTTTTATAATCTTTCATATCTTGTGGGTATATCTCATTTAAAAACTGACGGTCTACAACGAATCAATCCCATGGTCCATCATGTGAGAAGTAAATTTTGAAGCAACTTAAAATAAAGGGTTTTTGATGTAAGTAGAAGAATGTGAATAAAAATATGTAACATTTGGTTTTGTGGTTAGTAATATTGGGGTTGTTACCTTGTGGGATGTCAAGCCACCAATCAAATTACATCATTTTGCTTGCAAATAAAACATAATAATATAGTAAAAATAGGATCAATCCATGGAGAAATTCCAATACAATCTAATTAAATTAAATTAATTAACAACAATTAAACTAAAAGGAGGGGGTTGTGATTTGTTTGAAAACTAAAAGACTTGAAGAATTAAAAAAACTTGTAATTATGCAAAATGGTGTGATGCTCAAATATTATAGAGAATTGGTCCACTAAGGCAATTCAACACAATGAATATTTGTTTATTTATCAAGATCAAGGAGTCAATTAAAGCAATTGATATCAAGAAAATGGATTAACATTAAGAATAAAGGAATTCCCAATTCCAAGAGGATGTAAATACTTACACATTCATAAAGGAGTCATGATCCATAAGCTAGAGATGACTTCTACCATCATAAAGTCTTTGCTCTAAGCAAATTCAATGATTCATTTCTAAATCAAAGAAAGAGACCAACAATTACTCATCAAGTACCAAGCTCGTGATCAAAGTATTAAATAAGCATAATTATTATGAAATAAGAATCATAAACTTGAGATGAATGATAACCAAACATGAATCCTTTAAAACTCGCAAATATCCAAGAGTTTTAGCCTAAGGCAACCAAAATAAAGTAACTAGCCACTCATGGCAACAAGGCAATGATCATAAAAGTGTTTCAACATCAAGGAAGTAGCAAAAGTACTAGAAGAATGAGATGATGAATGCTCTAGCTCTCCAAAATCACCCCTAACTCCTCCAATGGTGTCCGAAATCAATATATGGGCTGCAAGACCTAACCCCAAGCTAAATGATAGGCCAAATGACCAAAATGCCCTCGGAAAAAGTAGTTGCGCTAGTGGGAGCACAAAGTTGAGCGGCTGGAGACCTCACCCTCGCAAACAAATGTTGAAATGATATTGGCTCATTCTTCCACTAGTCCACCCCACTACCTTAGATCCCATTGGTCCCCTTCACACCTCATATCATTCAAATATGGACCAGTCATCTTCAAGCATCAAAATTGATAGTCCAAGCCCATTTTCAAGAGTCCATGACATATCCAAGTCTTCAACACATCAAGCCCAAATCTTTGAAAATGGATCTGTAACGCCTAATAACTCCTCGAAAGCCCACAAACCTAGCAACAAGCTAATCCGCAAGCGCAATGAGATTCCAAAAACCTACAAAACACCTTATGCAAAAGAGAAACCACTCGATACGATCCAAGATAAAGAAGGGATAGAATATGCAATGCAATAACAAAAAAAGGATAAAAATGCTAAATAAACTACATAAAAGAAGAAAATAAACCAAACTATCAAATCACTCCAAGATTAAACATTACTTATCCTCAAGTAAGAACAAGACTAAAGCGAGCTCGTGGTGTACTCACTAAAAAAGAAAAACAAAGTTTACCATAGAACTTGGTCAAATCCAGTGAACATGGCCAGAGTCGAGTGAAAGAATGTTTCAAAAAATGAAAACAACATTCACAAAATTATAACACAATTAAGGATTCCACAAGGTAAATTAAGAGATTTTCATGATATAACTAAAACCATAGATTAGATAGCAATTAACTTTATAGATTTGAAGTTACTTATAGAAATCATTTTACCTAATCTACTAGTGGTGCTCAAGAAACAACAAAGGGAGAGAAACGATTGATTTGAAAGGAGCCTTCCTTTTTGTTATATACGAAGAAAATGCGAGACTTACGATTCTAATATCGAATTCAAATAGCTTCAGGCGATTGTAAATTTTTAATGTCTATAATAAGCGGAAAAAATGTGCACCTTCGTGCATACTTACGTATGTATGATGAGAGCGTCTATCATTGGGCTCATGACTCTTCGGGTCCGAAATATATATCTTTAATGAAAAATCTGTCAAACCACCTAAAATGATATTTTTTTTTTAAATTATATTTTAAATTGCAAGTTTAGAAAAATTAGAGAAAGTTTCATGAATGCTCATTTGGTTTAAAAATTCCCTCAAACTATCCTTATGAAACTTTTTTTTGCATTAATGGTCCCTTTTGACAAAATTTATCACATCAATGGTCCTTATGTATAACGTCAGTTAGAGAGAGAAGTACCCATAAGGACCATTTGTGAATTTTTTGAAACTTCATACAAGCTCCATTTGTAAATTTTTATGAAACTTCACATAAGAAGCATTTGTGAAATTTTGAAAAAGTCTATTAAATTTTGTATTATTTATCATAAATCAAATAAAAAGGAAAAAACCTAAAACAAAGAAAATGTAATGATATTATAAATAAAAAAATAAAACTTAGTAATTTTAATCAACATCAAATATATTTTATTTAATATATAAAAAATTATTATCTAAACCGTATCCAAAATATTTAAACTATAATACATAAGTAAATATTTCCATTTTTATGTTTTATAAAAAAAAAATGAAGTATAAAAACATTATTTTAAATTTATAGCCCCTAACTTAAAGGATTAAACACTTAATAGAAGTGGTTGTTCTACACAGGAAGCGCAACGCGACCAAAACTTGGTCGCAACTATTTTGGATTACAGTGTTCTTGATGCGACCATGAGCCGGTCAAGGTGCTTTGGCCGTTGACCCTTGAATTTTCGGTCATTTTGACTTTTGGTAAAACTTCGATGGAAATAGAGTTTTGGATTGAGGTTTAACCTCCCACTGGTAGTGATTTATGAGATGCGTATGTTGGTAGATTTAGGTGGTTCGTGCTAGTTGGTTCATTCAAGGAGTCTTGCATTAGACATTGAGATTTCTAGCTTTGGGTGAGTTTTCTCACTATAGTGTGTGTGGTGTTATATATTCTTGTGTACTGCTATTATATGAATGTGTGATTAAGGTCCTATGGGATGACGGTTGTATGCCTACAAGCCTAATGTCACATCCATAAAATTCGTGAAAATGTAAAACTTTTTCAAACATTCAAAAACCATTATTTATTACAAAATGTTTTCAAAACCATTGTTTATTACCACGTCCAACCACATCCTCTGGCGAATATTCAGGTTGGGTTGATCCATCAAATATTTCAAGCTCTTGTGGTCCGTGTATGTGGTACATCGAACCCCATACAAATAGTGACGCCAGATCTTGAGGGCGAACATCACTGCCCCTAGCTCCAGATCGTGGGTGGGATACCTCGTCTCATGAGGCTTCAGCTGCCTCGATGCATACGCTATCACATGCCCCTTCTGCATAAGCACTGCACCCAACCCTAATATCGATACGTCGCAATACACCATAAAATCCTCCATCCCTTCCGGGAGAGCTAACAACGGAGCCTCGCATAGTTTCTGGCAAAGTGTCTCAAACGAGGTCTGCTGCTCCGGACCCCACGAAAAAGCAACACCCTTTCGGGTCAACCTGGTGAGAGGCACGACGATCTTGGAGAAATCTTTGATAAATCTGCGATAGTAGTCGGCCAATCCTAGAAAACTTCTGATCTCGGTGGGTGATATCGGCACCTCCCACCTCATAACCGCCTCAATCTTGGCAGGATCGACCAAAATCCCATTCTGGTTAACGAAATGCCCCAAGAACTGGACCTCCCATAACGAGAACTCGCACTTGGAGAATTTGGCATAAAGCCTCTCCGATATCAATACCCCGAGAATCTCTCTCAGATGCTCCTCATGCTGCTCTCTAGATCTTGAATACACCAAAATGTCATCAATGAACACGATCATCGAGCGATCCAACATCGGCCTGCACACCCTGTTCATGAGATCCATGAACGCCGTAGGTACATTGGTGAGCCCGAAAGGCATCACCACGACCTCGTAATGCCCATAACGAGTTCCGAACGTCGTCTTCTGGATATCTTCATCCCGTACTCTCATCTGATGATACCCAAATCTCAAGTCAATCTTGGAGAACTAAGACGCCTCCTGCAACTGACCGAACAGGACGTCGATCCTCGGTAAAGGGTAACGGTTCTTGACCGTCAACTTGTTCAACTCTCAGTAATCAATGCACATCCGGTGCGAACCATCCTTTTTCTTGTCAAAAAGGATCGGTGCTCCCCAAGGGGAACTAATCGATCTAATAAACTCCTTCCCTAACAGCTCCTGAAGCTGCGAGGATAACTACTGCATCTCTGGCGGTGCAAGGCGATACGGCTCCTTGGTGATAGGCGTTGCCCCCGGAACCAAATCGATGTGGAACTCTACCTGCCTCTCAAGAGGCACACCCGACAACTCCTCAGGGAAAACATCTGGGAATTCGCGCAATATTGGTACATCATCAATCG